GATGCTGGCGAAATTCCTCTATCCTGCCCGTCTTGAAACACGAACCGAAGAGTTCAACATGCATGCGATCCAGTGGGTGATTAGCCCATGAGGCGGAAGAAACCTGAGTGGCAAGAACCCTTTGCGGGTGCGCCGTCCGCCAACCATGATCTGCTGTGAGAGGTTTGAGTGTCAGCATGCCCGTTGGGACCCGAAAGATGGTGAACTATGCATGAGCAGGGCGAGGCCAGAGGAAACTCTGGTGGAGGCTCATAGCGGTACTTACGTGCAAATCGTTCGTCGGCCTTGGTTATAGGGGCAAAAGACTAATTGAACTGTCTAGTAGCTGGTTCCCTCTGAAGTTTCCCTCAGGATAGCWGGAGCTGTTGAACAGTTTTATCGGGTAAAGCGAATGCTTAGAGGCCTCGAGGGTGAAAAACCCTCGACCTATTTTCAAACCTTACATATGTAAGATTTCGGGGTTGGTTAAGGGAACCCCAAGGATCAATGAAAGCTCCAAGTGGGCCATTTTAGGTAAGCAGAACAGGCGATGCGGGATGAACCGAAAGTCGAGCTACGGTGCCAAATTGCACGCTATCCCAGACACCACAAAGGGTGTTGATTGATACAGACAGCAAGGCGATGGTCATGGAAGTCGAATTCCGCTAAGAAGTGTGTAACAACTCACCTGCYGAATCAATCAGCCCCGAAAATGGATGGCGCTGAAGCGCGCGACCTATGCTCGGCCGTCGCTGCGATTCTGACGCCGCGACGAGTAGGAGGGCGCGGGGCCTGCTGCGAAGCCTGGAGCGTGAGCCTAGGTGAAGCGGGTCCCGGTGCAGATCTTGGTGGTAGTAGCAAATATTCAAATGAGAACTTTGAAGACCGAAGTGGAGAAAGGTTCCATGTGAACAGCGCTTGGACATGGCTCAGTCGGCCCTAAGAGATGTGGAAACCTTGTATCAAGGGCGCACTGCGTGCTGCACATCGAAAGGGGGCCAGGTTAATATTCCCGAACCGGGTTGTGGAGGTGGACGGTAACGTAAGCAGCTCCGGAGATGCCGGCGGGGGCCGTGGGGAGGGTTCTCTTTCTTTCTTGACGGCTCGCCCACCCTGGAATCGGATCAATCGGAGATAGGGTGCAGCGCCCGGCAAAGCACCGCGCATCCTGTGGTGTCCAGCGCGCCCCCGACAGCCCTTGAAAATCTGGAGCTGCGGGTACCTCTCACGCCCGACTGTACTCATAACCACATGAGGTCTCCTAGGTGAGCAGCCGCTGGTCAAAGGAAGATGTAGGTAAGGGAAGTCCGCAATATGGATCCGTAACCTTGGGAAAAGGATTGGCTCTGAGGGCTGAGCCTAGGGGTCTGCGCCTCGATGTCGTTGGCTGCCGGTGGTCTGCCCGAGCTGCTCTCGCGGCGAGGGCGGAGCCCGCGTGCCAGTGTGCCGACGGGTGTAGAATGTCTTATATCCCCACCGTTAAGGTGGGGCTGTGGGACTCTCCCTAAGCATCAAACTGCCGACTCAGAACTGGTGCGGACAAGGGGAATCCGACTGTTTAATTAAAACAAAGCATTGCGATGGTCCCAACRGATGTTGACGCAATGTGATTTCTGCCCAGTGCTCTGAATGTCAAAGTGAAGAGATTCAACCAAGCGCGAGTAAACGGCGGGAGTAACTATGACTCTCTTAAGGTAGCCAAATGCCTCGTCATCTAATTAGTGATGCGCATGAATGGGTTAACGAGATTCTCACTGTCCCTATCTACCATCCTGCGAAACCACAGCCAAGGGAACGGGCTTGGAAGAATCGGCGKGGAAAGAAGACCCTGTTGAGCTTAACTCTGGTTCGACTCTGTGAAATGACTTGAGAGGTGTAGAATAAGTGGGAGCCTTACAACGCAAGTGAAATACCACTACTTTTGACGTTATTTTACTTATTTCGTGAGGTGGAGTCGGGGCTCTGCCCCTGCTTCTCGATCCAAGGTGCAGGCCCTCGTGGCCTGTCCGATCCAAGCGAAAGACATTGTCAGGTGGGGAGTTTGGCTGGGGCGGCACATCTCTTAGAAGATAACGCAGGTGTCCTAAGATGAGCTCAACGAGAACAGAAATCTCGTGTGGAGCAAAAGGGCAAAAGTTCATTTGATTTTGATTTCCAGTACAGACATCCTCCCTGGTTCATAACCCCTGACACCTCTACAATCCTTGCGCATAGGCTGCCGTTTCGCGCTCTCATAGCTCATAGCCATTTCGCGCTCTCATAGCTCATAGCCATCCACACACCGGTTGCTGCGGGTTGGAGTCGGTGTTGGGGGGATCGAGTCCCGACTGCAGTCTGTTCCTGAGGGGGAAGGGTTCATACTGTCGGAGTGGGAATTGTCGGGTTGCGCTGTTGACGCGCGCACGTGGTGGATTCCATGTGGGCACAAAATAGTCGTTCACGTTGTGAGGGATTGAGGGCCCTGACACAAAATGCGGGGTTGCGGAGGGGGGAACCACGTCGGCTTGTGGGGACCGTTGCCACCTTGGGGCTTTGCCGGAAAAAATCTGAAAAATCTGAAAAAATCCGGTCTATCGCAAATATCAGGTCCATTGAAGGGAGAAAGTAGCTAGGCGTAGGAGTGGGCTAGCCTTTGGAGGGGGTGCCTCAAAAACGGGTTCCTCCATAGCAGGGACGACTGCCACAGGGATATAGGGTGCGACTGAGTGCAAAAAGTGCCTCCCGGCCCAAAATGCCTCGGTGGCAACAGTGGTCTGGGTTTAGGGGTGCCCTACTATGTTGCATGCAACTATGGAGCGTCGGTCATAGTCGATACCCTCCCGTCTTCCAGGGTACGTGAGGATGTGAGTTATCCCTGAGGGTCTCAGCTGGTTCACTGAGTGTGTGTGTGTGTATTAGGGGGTGTGGGGAGGGGTTGGATCATACGATATCATTGCGGGCAGGGCCGTCTGCGCAGGTCTCGCTTGGCGAGTGTAGTACCCGCTCCGAGAGCGTAGGAAGGCTCGACGCGCCGGCCAGCCTGTCAGGACTGCCCTCAATGGCCGTGCGACAAGGACCCCCCTAAGGCCGTCTCCAACCTGCACAACCTTTAAAAAAAAAAAAAAAAAAAACTCTGAGAGCATGCCCTAT